TGGGCCGCGATTGACATCTTATAGGACTAGGTTAAGTACATGGATTGATTAGTAGAGGGTAACCGAATTCATGCAGTCTAGTCCTAAGTGGTGATAGAATTCTATCAATCATTTTGCAATAAGGCAACTAGGCTAGGAGACTAATCGTTACGATGCACTGAGATAGATGTTAATTGGATGGAGGCAGGTTTGTTGATATTACTACTGGAAACTGTCATTAAACTATGTCCTGAAAGTTATCCACTAAATAGTACTGTTTAACTGCGCAGTGCATTTGATAAACAGACTAAAATGGAATGAAAATCTTCCATAATGTTCAAGTTGTACTCCTACTTCAATGGTACACGTTCAAGCTATTCATACTTTACCGAATAACGGGATGGAACAACATTCGGAGTTTGAACTGAAAAAAACTAGATGTTTTTTCTGGTTGGTATTCACTATGGAATGACATCAGTTGAAGGAACATTGGAAGCCTGGAAGCACAGGACAGCTGTTCCCTCCTAGTTTAAGACCCCTTAGCAGTGCGGACTCATGATCCCAACCACCACGGATCGAAACCAAGACCTTTAGGTCCTATGTCCAGCACGTTATCATTTAGCGGAATCCAATGGTTCATATTTCCCACTTCTGTCAGGTCATGACATAATACGACTATGACCCATTGTCATCGTTTAGTATTTGTTCTCACGGCCACCAGGTTTGCTCCACCCATCACGACTTTACATTGAAACCTCAGGAATCACCTCTCGAAGCTAGTCATCAATGCGGTTGTGGAGATTTAGTTATTTTTCAAGTTGGTATTCATCATGGAGTGACATACCTGGCGGGGTCATGGGTGAGCACCGCTGAGATATCCCATACTAGGAAGAAATAGCTGTTCAGTACTTCCAGGTTTCTGTTACTTTACCTGACATCAGTTCATGAAGAATACCAACTTTAAAAATCACTAAATCTCCCCCCCCCAAAAAAAACACTGAATTCAAAAGCCAGATGTGATAACAGTCCTCGTCACTGTGTCAGTATCACTGCAAAACGTACGTTTATACCATATACTCTGGATGCATTAATCGTTCTAAGATATTGTAGCTAACAGTGTGCATTTCTGAATTTTGCGAGACAGAAGAGATTATTACTTAGTCCCTTAACTGAAATTAGATGATAATGATATCATGATTTAATGGCAATATAATGTAACCGGTACAGGAAATTCCTCAAATATCTGTTACAATAATGTGGACTATTCTAGAATTTCAAAACCCGGAGTGTGTCAGATATTGTTTGAAAAGGATGAAGGAGAAATACTTAATGCATAACCTGCGATTATCGCCGCAACAGGATGAATTGACCACAGGTCTCATTATACCACTTCAATCACACAATAAACAAAACATAAACACATTGCCAGTAGTCGGTTTATTGTTATTATTATTATTTTTCCCTTGGGTTACTAGTCGAACATACGACTTCAGTAACACACCTCAATTACACTCTCACCTCTCAAATATCTTCAACCTCAATCCACAACCCACTACCCACAGAATCTCATCTAGTCCTCACATCATCTCCTCAATGTCACCCTCAACTCCCACACACAACTCGTCGTCTCCCATCTCGATCACACGCGATGAACTGACCTCACCTGCCACGTGATGTCCCACAATCCTCTCCTCACTGCATCCCCAACACATTCAATCTCCACTCACTTACACTGCATATTTGTTGAGTGATCGCTTCTCGCTTCATTGCCTCATCACCACAACAGACCACATTCTTGCTTATTCTCATTATTCTGGTCATCTGAGTTTCAGTGACGAGCCAGAGTAGACAGTTGTTGATGATGAATATCTCTAGTTTGTTGTAAATGCCTTTCGTGACACTCCAAGTCTCTCAACCATATAGCAGCACTGACTTGACTGAATTGGTGTCGAAAATGCGAATCTTGTTCACGCTTTATGCTGAGTGGAGTGCAGTAGATCTCCACACTGGTTTCAGATTAATGAGGGCAGGCCTGTCTTGCTGTCTTTCTGATCCTGGTTGCTGTGACATCCTGGTGTGTGCCGCCACCGTCTGTAGTTGCCTGTAGTTGAAATGATGCTCCCCTACTTAGCTAGGTGGAAGAGAATACTTCCTTCCAGTTTCTCCAGTTCGTGGTGATTTGGGCTTGTTGTTGTTTTTGTTGATGGTGTTGGTTGGGTATCATCATCACCTGTGTCTTCTCTGTGTTCACTCGAATTCCTACATTCGGTGACCTGCCTATTCCGTCAACTTGTTAGTTTTTGCCTACAGATCTTCGAGTTTGTGTGACATTATGCACGAGCCATCAGTGAGATCTAAATCTTCTACGATCTTTTCCTCGGTCCAGTGTATCTCCCTGTTCTCACTCCTCATGCTTTGTTGCATGATCCAGCCGACCACAATCAGGAAGATCATGTGTGCTAGTTGACAGCCAAGCCATGTTTTACCCCTGATTTCACTTTAGAGGCACCTGTGAGCTTCCCGTTTTGAACTGCTTGGTGTGTGGCGTCTTCATATAGTAGTTGAATGAGATTGATAAAGGTTTTTGGCATTGTGTAGTGTTGAAGCCTTGGTTGCCGAATGACTTTTCGGTCGATGCAATCGAAGGCCTTCTCAAAGTCGATGAAGTTGAGGTAGAGAGATTTATTATAGTGAAAACAAATTAAGCGTATAAAAAGTCTTCTTGAAATTTAATCATACTCCAATGCAAGAATTATTTTTCAACTCAATGTTTGAAACTTGAATAAATTTCTTATATATAGAATAAAATGAATGACCATTACTTTAAGTTATAATTTACCTCTCATATATTTCACTCTTATCTTAAACAAGATACTACTGAAATTTTTTTTTCTCATCTATTTGAATGATTTTCCATTTAAATGCAAATTTTTCACTTTCTGACTTGTTGCACATTTCCATGACCCTCCTTCCCCCGCCCTGTTTTGCAGTGTGTGTGTGTGTGTGTGTGTGTGTGTGTGCATGCCTTTAAAAGGAAGTGTTGTTACTTTACTATCCATCTTACAGAAAAGCAATTTTTCTTCAGTTAACTGGTATTGTTATCCTTTTGACATGAAATAGGAAATTATCAAATATTTGTGTATTATGGATTAAATCGAATAAATTTGTTTAACGATACAATTTTTGATGAATGTTATTACTTGGATGATTTTAATACACCATAGGATCAGTGGATTCAAACTGACTGACAAGATAACAATAGAAATTTCTCTTGTTATCAAACTTCAAAGGAGGTCTGATAATTCTATTCAAAAATCTATCTACAGTAATTTCATTTAAAATGGGCAAATGACCAACATTCAAAGTTGGATACCTTTAAGTAGGAAGATGAATTTTGTGCTCTTACTCTTATCAAGAATAAGAATGATATGTAGAGGTGATAAATTTGTTCAAGAATTAAAAAACCTTCCAGAAATGATGTTACAGAATGCCTACCCATCCAGATCTATACAGAAAAATATATATAATGGAGAAGAAAACTATAGAATAAGTTTAGACATTTACGAAGAAAATACTTTCGGTCAACCTCAGATTTTAAAGCTTATCTAAGAGGGGCATATGCTAGACGTGGAAAAAGATCCTAGAAGATTTGGATTTCACTGATGGCTCGTGCATAATGTCACACAAACTCGAAGATCTGTAGGCAAAAACTAACAAGTTGACGGAATAGCAGGTCACCGAATGTAGGAATTCGAGTGAACACAGAGAAGACACAGGTGATGATGATACCCAACCAACACCATCAACAAAAACAACAACAAGCCCAAATCACCACGAACTGGAGAAACTGGAAGGAAGTATTCTCTTCCACCTAGCTAAGTAGGGGAGCATCATTTCAACTACAGGCAAATACAGACGGTGGTGGCACACACCAGGATGTCACAGCAACCAGGATCAGAAAGACAGCAAGACAGGCCTGCCCTCATTAATCTGAAACCAGTGTGGAGATCTACTGCACTCCACTCAGCATAAAGCGTGAACAGATTCGCATTTTCGACACCAATTCAGTCAAGTCAGTGCTGCTATATGGTTGAGAGATTTGGCGTGTCACGAAAGGCATTTACAACAAACTAGAGATATTCATCATCAACAACTGTCTACTCTGGCTCGTCACTGAAACTCAGATGACCAGAATAATGAGAATAAGCAAGAATGTGGTCTGTTGTGGTGATGAGGCAATGAAGCGAGAAGCGATCACTCAACAAATATGCAGTGTAAGTGAGTGGAGATTGAATGTGTTGGGGATGCAGTGAGGAGAGGATTGTGGGACATCACGTGGCAGGTGAGGTCAGTTCATCGCGTGTGATCGAGATGGGAGACGACGAGTTGTGTGTGGGAGTTGAGGGTGACATTGAGGAGATGATGTGAGGACTAGATGAGATTCTGTGGGTAGTGGGTTGTGGATTGAGGTTGAAGATATTTGAGAGGTGAGAGTGTAATTGAGGTGTGTTACTGAAGTCGTATGTTCGACTAGTAACCCTAGGGTAAAATAATAATAATAATTCTGTAAATCTGCGTATTGGATGCTCATGTCAACAGAGAGTTTGTCAGTGTGAAACACAAACTATTCTTTGGGTCTCATTAGTGTGTATTTACAACTTCTCTTGCTCCTGTGCAGCGAAGTACGTTGGCTGCACTATGTACTCGCTTGACAAATGAGGTAGCTAACATTATCCAGTTGATGAGTGTTGAATATGCAAAGCCACCTCCAGGCACATCGCTGAATACCTCTTAGACTCTAAACATCTAGCTCTTCTGGAAACCTTATTTAAAATTGTCTATAAAGTCCAACCAAATCGTTCAGAAAGGGGAGGACTAAGCAGTTATGTACAGCCAAAGCTCTGAAATGTCATAGCAACAAACTTTAATTGTATTTTCAAAAAGGGTATATGCATATATATACGAGCAGAGGCTATAAACCATAAATCTTAACGCAATGAAAATCCCACCGTTTGACTTACGTGAAACTTTTGATGCTGAATTATTCACTAAACATCGCGAAGATGGTCGACCTGATGGCGGTTTTTCCAAACTTGTTCTGCTAATCTGTATGAAGGGGATAACAAGAAAGAAATATAAAATGAATGGGGACGGATTAAGCGATGTAACTGTAAAAGTTCAAATAGAATAAAAACAAAACTTGTTGTTAGCTTATGCCCTTAAAGTCATTTGATTAACGTTGCTGCTACCGTCGTCTAATCACTTTTAGATGAATCTATGTTAAATCGAAAAACTAACAAGTTAACAGTAGAGGCAGGGCAGCGAAGGCGGGATTTTAAGTGAATGTAGAGATGATGGAGGTGGTGAATATACCCAACCGACACTACCGCCGACAACAATAACAGGCTGCAATCACCACCTACGAGAGAAACCTAAAAGAAGTTGTATCTTCCACCTACGTAGGCAGGACAGCATCGTTTCAACTACAGACGGCGGCGGCACAGACGAGGATGTCACAGAAGCCAGGATCGGAGAGACAGTAAGACAGGTGTTCATTAACCTGAAACCAGTGTGGAGATCTTTTGCACTCAGCGTAAATTGTGAACAACATCCGGATTTTCAACATTAATTCAGTCAAGTCAGTGCCGTTATAAGCTTCAGAGACTTGGCGCTTTACGAAAAGCATTTCCAACAAACTACAGATATTCATCAACAGCTGCCACCTACGCTGGCTTGATACTGAAGATGAAGATCAGATGGCCAGAATAATGAGAATAAGCAAGAAGAAACTCTGGCGTGGCCACAAACCAACCAAGAACTTATCACTCAACAAACATGCAGTGGAAGAAAGTGGAGATGGACTGAGCATACACTGAGAAGACCGACTGGTGACATTACGCTCCAGGCCAGGCACTCGAATGGAATTCAAAGGGTAGACGACGAGCTGGGCGTCCAAGGCTGATACGGCTTCTGACTAAAGTAAAGATTTCTAGAGTGGCTTGTTTTGTAAGCTTATATCACATAATTCACTGGAACAACCTCCTGTCAGCACACATTTCTTGAGCAGTACAAGTTTTCTGGATATGATTTCTTTTGCATACGTTGCCTTTATACATTGTATCACCTATTCCATTTGTCGACTGACAACACCAGAATGACTAACATGACATAATGCCATTTAAAGACTTCCTATCGACATTTTAAAAGAAACAGTTCCTCACTGGTTATAAAAATAGACCTGTTATTTTTAGTTTGTACTAATCAACTGCAATTAGTCAGTGAAATGTAGTACCTCGGCAGTAATCACGCAAGCCATTTCATGAGGTCGTATCATAAGATTCAAACTAGCTGACTTAATATCAAGATGCCCACTATGAAATCAAAGAGCCCTGAGTACCATTCCTCATAGGCTTTCGGATACAAATTGACTGCTGAGGAGTCTTCAAGGAGGTCTAAACAGCTACCAACTGGTTTCTTATGTAGCTGTCTAGAATCCACAATGATAAACACCTTGAGATTTATCCAACTTCTTTATTAATTCGCTTAGCATATCAACTGAGGACTTGGAAAACATGGTAGTCCATTGAAATAGGATCACCAATATCCGGACTAATTGCAGAAGCAGCGATGCAGAGACTGGAAACTATCATTTCACCTGTGGTTAAACCAAAAGTTTCAATTTCCTATATGTAGGCACGACTTTATCATCATTAAAAAGATGATATAGAAAACACTCAAGTTTGATCAACAATGCTTTCAATAACATCAAATTCACAATGGTGAAGGAGTCAAACAACCAACCACCATTTCTGAATATTTTAGTTAGTAGGACAAATGCCGACAAGCTGGAAACTCAAGTGTACAGGAAGCCAACACACACACACACACACACACACACACACACACACTGATCAAATACTCAACTACAGTAGAAACAACCCAACAACCCACAAGATCAGTTGTTTGCAGACTCTATTCAGAAGAGCGAAAACACACTGAAGTATGACAATTTAACAGATAAACAAACAAAATTACTTGATGTCCATCCAACGAAAAAACAACGATCATCCACGAAACTTTATCAGAACATCCCTATCCCCTACATCATCAACTACAAATGACTTCGACAGAGATCAACAAATGCATCATCCTACCGTGCATAACGAATATATCAGAAATCATGACAAGATTGCTGAGACCACTGTGTGGAATCGGTGTGGTTCATAAACCAACAGATTCCCTCGAAACACTATTATGCAGACTGGAGGATGCACCAACGAAGGAAGATATAGTGAATATGATTTAGAAAATCAACTGGAATAACTGTAGTCAACAAACACTACATTGGACAAAGTGGTCGACCTCTTCACCTTCGTTTACGTGAACACCAATTGTGTATTAAACGTCACACACGACATTTCATCACTGATGTCAATGTACGTGGATAACAATTGTGGATATGAATTGAGTTTGGAGAATGTGGAGATGTTGGACGGAGAGAGGAAACACAGCGAATATCAGTGGATTCGTGGAAGTTTTGCATTCAGGTAGGTGAGTCAGTCAGTCAGTCAGTCAGTCAGTCAGTCAGTCAGTCAGTCAGTCAGTCAGTCAGTCAGTGAGTCAGTCAGTCAGTCAGTCAGTCAGTCAGTCAGTCAGTCAGTCAGTCAGTCGGTCAGTCAGTCAGTCAGTCAGTCAGTCAGCCATCAACAGATGTATAGATATAGACCCAATCTACTGACCAATGAGAAAAATGATGGAGAGGAGGAAGGTGATAGGTGAAGCAGTGGAACAACCAACAGTAAAATCGATGCAGTCAGTCAGTGATACACCAATCAAAGGAAATAACGGATCGGGAAGTAGTTGTTAATTGCAGACTACTAGATGACTCACGGAGATATATTGACATCTCACTCAATTGATACTGAAGTTAGTTGTGATGATGTCGTCTAGGAAGATGATGATAGTTCTCTGATTCAACAACTCAACTGGAAAACACAATACAAACAAGACGGTAGTATTCTATCATATTATATGTCGGTTTCCTAATAAAGGATTTCGTATTTTGAGATCAACTCATCATATCACGAAATGGTGTGAAGGAAAATATTTGAATTGTAAGTAGTAAATCTAGGTGTTAGCTATATAGTATGAAATTAGGCTTGTTTATTTTATATGGCACTTTTTATGTTACAGTATATTACTTACAGGATGACGTTTCCAGCATAAATTAAAAAACAGGTTCACGCAAAAGCAATTACACAGCTTTCGACATCTGATTTTCTTCATCTCACAAACTTATATTCTTTTGTTTTCATTATTAGTAGAACTTTACATATCCTTTGTATAGATATTGCGTCATTCTTATTACATGTAATGGATGTTGATTCAATGAGAAAAGCTTCAACAATCACTCTATATCTCTGCTTAACTATATTAGGCTTAGATTATTGTAACATAGGAGTTTAATCGAAAGCAGAAGCATTAACCTCCATAAGATGAACAGTCTAGAAAAGTTTTCGGTGATTGCAGTGCGTGTATCAACATGCTACCACACAATAGGGTGGAATGAAATCACTATTTATACGAAACTGAAGAAAGAGAGGATAAATAGTTCAGGTAAGATAATAGGCATGCCTCAAATGCCTCAGTGGCCTAGTGGATAACATTCGGTGTTCACTGCGATTGGTTATGCATTAGAGCCGTAGTGGGGAAAAAATGCTCCCTGGAGGCAGGCAACTGCAGCCGATGACTCCCAAACAGGCTGAGACACGTGTTTTGGCTTCCATTGTTAGTCCCTAGCCATCATTAATTTCACTATCTGCTTTATGTCATGCAAGAATATATATTTAAAGCCTCATTATACTGGGAGATGCGCTGGATTCAAAATTACGACCTCAACAGGCGGGATTCAGGAAGTAGAAATCATTTGCGGACCAGACTGCAGCCCAACGCATCATCATAGAACAGGGCATAGAAAGGCAGTCAACCCTTTACCTCAACTTCATCGACTTTGAGAAGGCCTTCGATTGCATCGACCGAAAAGTCATTCGGCAACCAAGGCTTCAACATTACACAATGCCAAAAACCTTTATCAATCTCATTCAACTACTATATGAAGACGCCACACACCAAATAGTTCAAAATGGGAAGCTCAGAGGTGCCTCTGAAGTGAAATCAGGAGTAAAACATGGCTTGGCTGTCAACTATCACACATGATCTTCCTGATTGTGGTCGGCTGGATCATGCAACAAAGCATGAGGAGTGAGAACAGGGAGATACACTGGACCGAGGAAAAGATCGTAGAAGATTTAGATCTCACTGATGGCTCGTGCATAATGTCACACAAACTCGAAGATCTGTAGGCAAAAACTAACAAGTTGACGGAATAGGCAGGTCACCGAATGTAGGAATTCGAGTGAACACAGAGAAGACACAGGTGATGATGATACCCAACCAACACCATCAACAAAAACAACAACAAGCCCAAATCACCACGAACTGGAGAAACTGGAAGGAAGTATTCTCTTCCACCTAGCTAAGTAGGGGAGCATCATTTCAACTACAGGCAACTACAGACGGTGGCGGCACACACCAGGATGTCACAGCAACCAGGATCAGAAAGACAGCAAGACAGGCCTGCCCTCATTAATCTGAAACCAGTGTGGAGATCTACTGCACTCCACTCAGCATAAAGCGTGAACAAGATTCGCATTTTCGACACCAATTCAGTCAAGTCAGTGCTGCTATATGGTTGAGAGACTTGGAGTGTCACGAAAGGCATTTACAACAAACTAGAGATATTCATCATCAACAACTGTCTACTCTGGCTCGTCACTGAAACTCAGATGACCAGAATAATGAGAATAAGCAAGAATGTGGTCTGTTGTGGTGATGAGGCAATGAAGCGAGAAGCGATCACTCAACAAATATGCAGTGTAAGTGAGTGGAGATTGAATGTGTTGGGGATGCAGTGAGGAGAGGATTGTGGGACATCACGTGGCAGGTTAGGTCAGTTCATCGAGTGTGATCGAGATGGGAGACGACGAGTTGGGTGTGGGAGTTGAGGGTGACATTGAGGAGATGATGTGAGGACTAGATGAGATTCT